AGCATCGTCAAGAGTGGCAGGAGCAAGTGCATACACAAGTCCGACAAGATCTTGACGAAGTGCTGGCCACAACATTCCTAGCTTGATCCGCTCCAACATATTTGGCTCCGCACGAAGCAAAAGACTTCGGAAACGAACACCAAATTGCATCACCGACTCAGATGGCCCTTGGCGAAGACGATGCAATTGTTGGAAGGCATCATCACAATCATCGGCATGTCCGAAGGCGTGTTTGAAGACGTCCGGAAAAACACTCCAATCGCCACGAGTGGCTGCGCTCAATCCATTGTACCACTGCAATGCCGTCCCTTGGAGACATGTGGGGAACTCACACAAATGTCGAGCATCATCCCAAGAATGATATGTGGCAATCACCATAAAATGATCGAACCAATGGTACACATCATCCCCAGGATTCCCACGAAAGAACTCCGGCCGAACGCAAGGATTGGCACCAAGAGCAGGAGGAGTTGTACCATGTGCTGTGAACGCCACCATCAACTGAGTTTGGTTGTTCAATTGCAAGCACATAGCATCAAGAAATTGAACCAATTGCTGCTCTAAAGTCAAAGGAGGAGATTGCGGATCGGCCATGAAGATAAATGAAAAAGAAAGAGCAAAAGAAGAGAAATGACAAAAAGCTGGAAAGAAATGGTAGATCTAGACAATGCAAAAAGCTAAATCTAAACCAAAATCCTGAAAGGAAAGAACAAAAGAAAGGAAATGGAAAAAGCTAAATCTAGACAATGCAAAAGTTAGATCTAAACTGAAATCCCAAATCCAAGCACTCCCCAGGGACAATCAAAAGTGCCCCTCACCTCCACCAACGTGAGTGCATGGAATATGGAAAGGGAATACAGAAATATGTATATTAATTAGCCCAAAAACCCTAGCTTATATACAGGAGCGAGTGGTCCGGATTGAAACCAATCCGACGGCTACCAAAATCCCACTACGCTAATATTAGTATACGGCATCGTAGCCATACACTTGGCCCTCACAACCTGATAATGGCTGCATATTTATAAAAATTGGGTGCTATATTGATAATCATTGGGTAGTGCCTTATAATAAATACCTTTGTAAAAAATATAATGCTCATATTAATATTGAAATTTGTGCTACTATAAAAAGTATTAAATATTTATCTAAATATATTTATAAATATTATGATTGTGTTACAATTGAAATCCATTCAGCAACCCAACAACCTGATAATATTTTAAATTAGAATGTAATCTCTACCTTTTTAAATACATATTATATATCTACTCTAGAGCCAAATATAGAGACTCTTTAAATTTAAAATGCATGATCATTCAACCTTTATAATCTATCTTCCTATCCATCTTCCAAATTTTTAAGATGTCTATTTTATAGAAAGTTCTAAACAATAACACTTCAAAAAGCTACTCAAAATGGTATGATGTTGAAAAAATAGTTTAAATTAAATATAAATGATCTAAATGCTAAACAATATATATATCCTGAAATCCTTTTATATTATACATTTAACTCTCATACTCATAATTGGAAAATTTGACATATAAAAAATGCCATTTCCTAAATGTATTTTATATCGCCATCCAATGTTGAATTATATCGTTTACATCTTATTTTATTTCATAAAAAAGGTGCTACATCTTTCAAAGATCTCAAAACAGTTAATAATATTTATTATGACACATTTCAACAAGTTGTAGATGCAATGGGGTTTATAGCTGATGATATTGAATGGGAAAAATGTTTAAAAAATACTTACTTTTTTATAATGTCATCACAATTATGACAATTATTTATATTACTTTGTATCTTTTGCACTCCAAAAGATCCTTACTTCTTATGGGATAAATTTAAAGACTTCTTTTGTGAAGATTTCATGCAAAAAAAATCAATTTTTTCATTATGAATATGCTTTACATGATACAAAAATTAAAATGAGAATGGATGGCAAAACTAATCAAAACTACCACGTATTTTTTCCCATTTGAAAATTTTGATGATGAAAATATTGTCAACTCAACACAAATATATCAAAATGTTGAACAAAATATTCCTCAATTTAATCAAGAACAGTTAATCATTTTTAATGATATTTTTAATGTTATTGATCACCTAATTGAGCATAATCGATACATTTTCATTGATGGCCTTGGTGGTACTGGTAAAACATTCTTTTTAACACTTTTATAAATATTTTACAACTGAGAAAAATAAATGTTGCTAACATAGCTTGGACAGGAATTGCAAATACTTTACTTTATAATGGCCAAACCTCACACACTACTTTTAAATTTTCTATTCCAATAAATAAAACATCAACTTATACTATAACTACTAATAGTGAAGTAGGTAAAAGAATCAAAACTACTAATGCATTGTTATGGGATAAAATAAATATGGTTCACATTCATGTATTCACTGTTGTTGATCAAGTGTTGTGAGACCTAAGAAATACATCATTACCTTTTGGTGGCATAATTGTTATCACTAGTGAGGACTTTAGACAAACACTTTTAGTCATTCCACATGGACATAGGGCATAAATTATTTCAAGTTTTGTAAAAATGAATAAATTATGGTGATTATTTAGAAAATTATCTTTGATAAAAAGTATGCAACTTACTAAAAGTGATATATTATGGGCTGAATAGCTTCTCAAAGTCGGAAATGGTGAAAATTTTCAAAATTTACCATCTTTACCTTCTAACTCTATTTTATTACCTTATATACAACTAATTTATTCATTTATTATTAATTTTGTCTACCCTTCAGTACTTGATATTTCAAACCCTTATATTGCAGCCAATCGAGTCATATTTACCCTACTTAACAATGACACATTTGCAATTAACAACACTATTGTCTCTAAATTACAAAATGATACATATATTTATGAAAACATTGATTTTGTTAACACTAAATATCTTGAAAGTTTTCCAATAGAATTCCTAAATTCTATAACACCTTCTGGTCTCCCACCATATAAACTCTCTCTCAAATAAGGTGTTATTCTTATCCTCCTAAAGAATTGTCTCCATCAATAGGACTATGTAACGGCACACTTCTCATCTTGAAAAATGCACCACCAAATGTTTTAAATTGTGAAATTGTGACGAGGCAATTTAAAGGGGCAAAATTTTTTATCCCATATATCACACTAATAGCATTAAATACAGAAATTCCATTCAAAATGTCCAAAAGACAATTTCCAATTCATTTGGGTTACTGCTTAACAATCTTCAAATGCCAAGGACAGAGTTGGAGTTTACTTGCCCCACCCAATTTTCACTCATGGACAACTTTATGTGGCTTTATCAAGATGCACATCACCACATGGACTTGGAATTAAAGTTTAAAACACCACACACAAGGGCCACTTCCTTCCTCAAGATCCTTTTGTTTTTACAATCAACACTAATATAAAACCTCTTTGTAAACCACCTAACATTTATTGGGTAAGTATTTATGATTACATAGCATTTCTCTCTTTCCACTCCCATCTGCATCTGTCCATCCAACGACTATGGTTTTTCTCAGCTTTTGATTGGCACTTCTTTGACATTTTGGAGTTTAGAAACATTTTTTAGCATTATTTGTTCTTCATGAAGAAAAAAAGAATTTGAACAGTGGGACAATAGCATGGCTATCTCCACCACATTTGATTCCTCTCCATGACGACAAAACTAAGCAAGGATCATCACCTATCCACCTGTGAAGTTCTGGTGGATTCCCAAGAGTGTGCTTGAAAACTTGCAAGGCATCCGTTGGAAAAATAAGACTAAGGATGATCCAAGAGGAGAAGACTATGTAGCAATAGTTACTAGCTCCAGGTTGTGCAAAGATGAAGAGCATGCCCATATTCCATAATGCCAAAGCTAATAGTACCACTGAGCTTCACAAATTCATAGAAACCTCCATATGATCATTGTTGCTGCCCCTTGAGAGCAAAAAAAAGACCACTTCCAATCTAGCTGCTGCTGCTGCTGCTGCTTGGGTTGACTAGCATTTCCATTCCAGAGAAGAACCTCAAACCCCTTAGAGAAGAGGGTATCCCAACATCCGCCAATCTAGAGGAGCAAAGCAAAAGGAGAGATATTTACACACTAGTTAGCATTGCACACAAAGGAAAAGACCAGGAAAAGACCCTCTTTTCTCTCATCTCTGTCCTATGAAAGAGGCTTTGGTCTAAGTTAAAGTGATTGGAAGTAATGTTGTGTGGCAGCACCAGAGAGAGAGAGAGAGAGAGAGTCGGACGAAGAGAAATGCTATGTAATCATGCCACACCATTGCCAGTTAGGTGGAGAAGGATGGTGTTTAATGGGAGGCCTCCCGTGCTCCCCTTCCTCCCATCCCTCTCTCTCTTTTCATGGTGGCACTTCATTGCCTCCCATGCAAAGAGAGGGAGTTTACAAAAATTGAAGTTGCAAAACAAAGAGCCAGAAATATTTGGTGTTAACCTGTTTTCTGAAGCAGATTCCCGGCATATCTAGGTTTCAAGATGATCAGTCATAAATGGCAGTATCCAATGGCATACCAAAACACAAATCAACTTATATGAAACATGCAATATGTATTTAAGAATGTTATAAATTATATACATTAAATAGAATATACTTGAAAGTTTATAAACTATAAACATCTTTATAATTTGATTATTAAAACATTTACAAAACTGTGTATCGGAGCCCCGACGCTGGAGAAGTACGGGAGTTCCCTCGCTGGGCATAAGTGGAGCCACAGCGAGGCAGCCATGAACAACGACACCAAGTTCTTGGCAGGTGGGAAGAGATTTGAGCGTGTTCTCCCATCTTCGCGAAACGATGGAGATGCAACATCACCGGTGAGGTAGAGTGCTATGCACGTGGGAAGATCACGGCCGTCCAGAAGGCCATCCTCCTGGAATCCAGCGAGTCGGAGACGCCATACATGTCGACCAGCGCAGTGAGTACCAGACTGTCCTGCCTCGATCGTCCAAAGCCCTAAACTTCCAGACTACAAAATAATCTCTCTTTAGGTATTTGCTTGTTCTCGCTCTCTCTCTCTCTCCAAGATGGTGTTGCTGGAGATGTTACAGATTGTGGAGATAATTTTTGCTCTCGATTTTGTATGCACCGAGTGGAATGTCTCATCCAGGTAAGTTTTTTTAGGTCTTCTTCTCAAGATTTCTTTCCTCGTTCTTGCAGGCTCAGGAAATGGAAGCTGCACAGGAAAAGGTATGGCTCTTCTTCCTTTCTCGTTTTCCCCTTCCTTTCCTTTTCTGTTAATGCGTCTGGTTTCGTGATTTCTGGCTAACTCTTTTTTTTGTAAACAGGGCTATTCTACCCGGAGTTTGGCGCAGTGGAGCTGCTTGGAAAGGCACCTCCGGCGGTGGATCATTACCATGATCACGGCCCTCTCGATTACCGCAAACATACTTTCCCTAACAGTAAGTTTTTTCGTGATTTCTGAGGGATTGGATAACTCTTTTCCTAACAGGGCTATTCTACCATGATCGAGTGGAGCTGCTTGGAAACAAGAGGAAGGCACCACCGGATTACTATGATCACCCGCCTCTTGATCGCCTCAAAGTTACTCTCTGTAACAGTAAGTTTGTTTCTTGATTTGTACGGGGGATCGGCTAACTCTTTCCCTTGTAAACAGGGCTATTCTACCGGGAGTTTGAGCTGCTCGGAAACAAGAGGAAGGCACCGCCGGTGGTGGATCATTACTGTGATCATCCGCCTCTCAATCCCTGGGAACTTACTCTCCCTGACAGTAAGTTTGTTTCGTGATTTCTGCGATCGGCTAACTCTTTTCCTTGTAAACAGGACTATTCTACTCGGGGTTTGAGCTGCTTCGAAACAAAAGGAAGGCACCAGAGGCGGTGGATCATTACTGTGATCATCCGGCTTTCAAACGCCGGAAACTTGCTAAGAAGGCAGGGGACTCTCCTCTCAGCGAGAACGGGATGATGATGGTGGAAGTGATCAAGCGGCATCCACCTGACTTCGCCAACATGATCCAAGACTATCATGGCGTGAGACCGACGCTGGCTCACTACGACTGCCTGGCGGATCCCCTGTGCCGGACGGGGCTGTTCGGCCAGGCCGTGGAGCTCATCGACACCATGCCTTTTGAGCCGGACTTGGACGACGCTCCTGGTGACGTGCCAGACTCTCTCGACTCTAGATACGACAAGGCAAAGGTGACGACGGACCCTCACAACGCCTTCTACCTCACACGTCCGGACTTACAGGCAGGACCGGCTCAACGTCTCGCTCAACTCGATCGGCGGTGCTCCATCGAGACCAGGGATCATATCCAAGCGTGGGAGACGGCACATTCTTATGCTGCCGCCGTCGATTAGGAGCTCCACAGGCTAAACATCGAGCTGACCATGGAGCGGGGGTGCAAGGTGGACGTGCTGCTGGGGCTTGTGAGCAAGGTGCCAGGCACGACCATCCAGGCCGTCAAGAACCTCAAGGTTGACACCACTCTTCTCCAAGACCGTGCCGAGAAGTAGAAGCTTCTGCAATAGCAGGAAGCCGGCGGCTGGATTGCTTGGTCTCTCCAACGACTCATACTGGGAACTCTATGTGATTTTAAAATGTATATATTAGTATTAAAGATCTAAGTTTGTAAAGTCTGGTCGATCTTCCCTTTTGCTCTTACTAGAATTTACAGTCATTTCCATACGATATTAACAGGATTTCAACCACTGAGGTCTTAAGTTAAGAACGCTCGTAGCAGTAACTGGTGGGAGTAGAGGTCTTGAATTTACCACGCCATGTGAGTGTGTGCCCATGAAGTTGATGAATCTTCCCATGGCTGGAGCATTCTCCCACGAGTAGTAGGACTCGTCCAACACCACTCCATTGAAATAATAGTCTGCGCACCACTTTAGAATGTTGATATACGATGACCACATTGTCATGCCCATCTCAACATTAGATTCCAACTTCTTCGATGTCTCCAATTTCCTTAGCAGATGCAAAAGAAATTGCTCCAGCGCTCTTGTGTTGACATGCCCATCGCAGTTGATTATAAACTCCCCTACCTCGCTGAAAACCTCCATGTACGTTTGCTGGAGCTTGTCGATGCCATTGTTTCGGATTGTCAGCGCCTCCAGGCCGGGCAAGAAATCGTTCCCCAGAAGGAAGCACAGGAACACGAGATCCCTCATGGTGGACCGCAGCCGCACAGAGCACGGCTCTTCCATCTGCACCTCGAAATCACGCACGAGCGTCTCGATGCTGATGAGTTTGTAAATCATCACTCCGTCCTTCGGCGTCTGGCGGACGATGTTGATCTTCCTGGAGAGTGGGCTAGCGAGAGCCAGCATGATCAAGTCGGCGTCGCGTCCAACCACGCAGTGGAAGTCGTGGGCGTTGAACGGCAGAGCCCGTATGTGGTTGAAGATCTTGAGCTCGCCCTCCCCGTCCTCCTCGGACGTGGAAACGATCCACTGGAGCCTCGAGCTAGTCATTGATCTCCTCCGGCGATGATCATATGAACTTGACAGCATCATGCTTGCCACAAATCGTCGCAGTTCACTCTCCAGCCCGTTCATGAAAGGCGTTCCATGGCGGACCATCGCCATCTTGGCCTTGCGATTGCGTGGGATGAGATCACCTGTCTGACCTTTGGTGGAATCGAGCTCATCCTCCGAGGAGGACAAGGAGGAGAGAGAAGCATCGCGATTGTAGCGACACGGCTTCTTGAAGAGCTTGCTGAAGAGCTTGGGGGTGGGAGGCCTTCCATCCAGGGCTAGGAAGACGAGCTTGCTCGGAGCCACCATGGCGACGAGCTTGCGGAGCGAGTCGAGGAACTCTTGGTAAAAAGTGGCGAAGGTGGGCGGGCAATCGTGGCTTTCCAGGATGACCCAGATGATGGTGTTGAGGTCGACATACAAGTTCGCGGTGTCGTACCGAAGCATATTGTTCTTGGCACCATCAATCGCGTCCCTCACGCAACGAGGATGCTTGGATACGAGCCAGGCGAAAAACCCAGGAACTCCCATGATCGATTGGTCTTGCTTGATCGCTCTTGGAGAGGATGGAAAGTGATAAACCCTCACAAGCATTTTCGCTGTTATATAGTCACGAGGGAAAAGGTAATTAGTTGTATCTTAGATTAAAATGTGGTTAGATAAATACTTTTAGCTAGTAAAGTTAATTCGTCAATGGGCAGTGAATCTGGAGTTACTCCCTCAATGGTTTCCATTACGGCTTTGCTTGGCTGAGAAGAAAACACACAGAGTGAGCTTATCCCGTTTTGAGCTCAAAACATACCCAAGGCGTACAGAAGGATGGACCATTTCAATCCTGGTTCCTGCAACGCCGGCATTCGTATTTCGGGGTGGCTGTATGTGATCTGCAGTGAGAATGTTTATAGATCAGGAACTATAGAAGTGTTTTTTTCTTCCTACCAGCATAAACACTCCTTGTGGTCTCAAAATCCTGCAAGCGAGATAAGTTTCTCTTAGCATGTGTAGAACGCCTTCGGCCGGATCAACTCCACACTGAAAGAAGGAACGCAAATTGCATTAGACAAGGATGTTTTTGGTGACACAAACACTTACTAGCATGGCGTCGGCCAGGCCTGAAAAACAAAGAGAAAGAAAATGTAAGAGGAGACTCTTGAGAGTAAACTATTACTTTGTTACCTTTGTCAATGACCGCATCAAAGGAACAGTCTTGAAACGCACTCATGTCCCGTGAATCTATTGCCACATCTTAAGTTTCTTCAAGGAAGATATGGCTGCTGCAAAGAAGTAACATCACCAAGCCCAAGGATACAAGAGAGCTGAGGAACGTGAGCATATCTAACTTTGAAGTTGTCAATCCGAAGATAGATCCGTGTTGACGATTTCTTCTTAGCCATCTTCCACCATGTCGTTAACATTGCTGTTTTACATCCCTGGAATTAGTATTCTTTTCTATGGCATCGCTCATTGAGATCTTGGTACCTGAATTCCCACACACAGCCATCAAAACCTGGGAAGGGAAGATTTGCTGAATTGCTAACGGATAATCGACTCGAATCTGGAGTAATTCGAGAACCAATCGAGTGTTGCTCCGCGTGTCTCCCAGTAGCTCTGGCGCTGGAGGAGCAAGGAAGAAGGCGGGGGTGGCTACAAGCTCCAAATAATTCGAGAAGTTCTCCAGGAAATCTCACCGCTGAGAATGGAGGAGCTGATCTTCGCAGAGCACCGGACATTGATTCGAGAGCATTTGGATCAAACCCCCGATAAACCCCTTCACTAGAATATCCATTACAAACACATTGCTTTTGCCAGAATATTCTCTTGCCAGATTAGGGTTCTTAGTACTGAGCGAGAATTCGCTCCTCGATCCTGGGCGACGCCGCGACGATCAGGTCCTTCGCAGGTGGGCACGAAATGGTTCCGATCGATTCCTCCAGTGCGATGGGATTGTCCGAGATCTCGCTCCAGATGAATCCGTGTAGCAGGCTGGCGAGGAGGAAGAAGAGGGAGCGCATGGCAAGGCCATAGCCGGCGCACATCCTCCTCCCGGCGGAGAATGGGATGATCTGGAAGTGCTGCCCCCCGGGCGAGATGTTGGTCCCCAGGAATCGCTCGGGCTGGAATTCGTGGGGGCTTGTCCAGTGCGCTGGATCGCGGTTCGCCGCCCAGAGATTGACGAGGAGTTTGCATTTGGCGGGGATTATGGTGCCATGGCCATCGCCGAGCTCCACGGGGCGGAGGTTGTAGTGGGGCATTCCCAGGGGCACCGCCGGGTGGAGGCGGAGGGCCTCCTTGAGGATCGCCTGGATGAATGGAAGGTTTTGAAGATCGTGTTCTTCCACCGCGCGCTCCCTCCCGATGATTTGATCCAGTTCTTCTTGGGCCTTGCGCATGATCTCGGGTTTACTGATCACTTCTGCCATGCACCACTCGATCGACTCCATGGAGGTTTTGAATCCGGCACCCACCATATCCTGGAAGAAAGTTCGATCGATCGTCACATCGCAGAGAAGAGGATCGAGAAGGATGGTGATCACTTACACACAGGAGGCCGATGATCTCTTGGTCCGAGAGCTTGTCACTCTCGTCCAGGGAGATGAGAACGTCCACAAAGTCGCGGCAGACAAACCCATCGCCCGCCGCCTTCTTGCGCTCCTGGTGCTCCCGGACTTGATCGTCGAGCAGCGCCTTGATCCGGGGCATGATCTCGCCCCTCATCTTGGCGTACACGCCGTGGAGATCCATCCAGTCGAGCGACGGGATGATCTCGCCGATGTTGAGGTTGATCGCCTGCCCGGCCATGTTGTTGATCGTCTCCACCACCTCGGGACACTCCTCGCTGAAGAGCGTCAGGCACAGCGACCCCGACGTGTATCGGGCGAAGAGGGTCCGCAAGTTCACGGGCTCGCCGCCCCGTGATCGATCGAGGATGGCGTCCATGGCGGACTGGAGCTGCGATCGCCGGTAGGGGGCGCTGGTGGCGAGCATAGCGTTGCTGAAGAGGTTCGTGGCGCAGATCTTGCGCATGAGCTTCCACTCGGGCCCCGGTGAGCGGAAGGCCAGGTCGCTCCAGCCGAAGCTGAAGATCCGGAAGAACTCCTCCGACTGGGGGCGATTGGCGAACTCGGCGTCGTGGATCTTGAGGAAGAACTCGGCGGCGCGAGCGGTGTTGGCGATAACGTATGGAACCATGCCGATCTTGAGGAAGACGATGGGGCCGTAGCGATCGGCCAGGCGCGCGAAGTGGCGGTGGAGGGGCTGGCGGAGCGAGAGCAAAGATCCCACCACCGGGAAGGAGATTGGACCGGGCGGGAGTCTGGACGATCTCCTTGCGCGCAGTGATGATCGCCGCGGTCGCGAGCAAGCACACGAGGATCGCTATAGTGATTCCCATGCTCCTAGGAGTCGAAACTTCCTCGCCCAATGAATCACTTCTATACAAACTATTGCAGCTTTGATCTTACGTAACTATACGTAACTTTTGACTTTGAGAGGAATCATTGTCAATATCTATTCAGGAAAATATTTACTCCGCTAATTTCATGCCCACGAGAATATCCTTCCACAAATACCTACAGAGCCATGTTGTGGCTCGCTCACATTTGAGACTGTTGGTTGGGAATGATTCCACAATCTTCCTCCGCTTGTAATAAAATGTATCTCTACAGCTTCTTTGCAATCTCCACAGCCTCTTGCCCGATGCCCTTGCCACACACCGCCACAAGTGCCTTGCTCGCGCCTCTGGATTGTTGTCTGGAAAATTGACCTCGCTGCTCTATATGCTCAATGATCTGAGATAACATCATGGAGCAGGCAGAAATTTCACCAGACCCTTGACCTTTCTTTTACTGAGTTTTCATTTGACAAGATAAATTAGTTCTAATTTTTAGGTTTTCTTAAACAGTTATTATTCATTTATTCATCTTGATATCTAATAAGATTAATCTTGTATTTATAAATTATAAGCTTCCATTTGATAAATTAGATTAATAAATAGGAATGACACTACTATTAAGCAAATTAAGCATTGCTACATAAAATGCATAGCAAATGTTTTCAATATCACTTAAACTTTTAATTTTTAAATATTTCTAAATTTGAATAATTTGTTACATATTGCATGTAGCAATGCTTGATTTTCTTAATAGTAGTGTTATTCTTATTTATTAATCTAATTTATCAAATGAAAGTTTATAATTGTAAACATGTATAGCCATAAGATTACCCTTATATCAGCTAGAATAAAATAGAATATACTAGACAGTATGTAGGAAGTTTTATAAATTATAAATACAATATTAATCTAAATGAGTAACAACCATTAGATTGTGGAATATCCTAGAATATTGAAGCATATTCTATGTATATCCACTATCACTAGCAAACAAAAAATTCATCCAATCTACTGTTTTAGGATGTAAGCTATTAAGCTTTAATATCATTAATGAGTAGAGTATGTCCAAATATAATCAAACTCTCATATCTGTTTTTAAATTGTTCTGGAATGAGAAACCTCTTTTGCATGCAGCAGTGTTGGCTAGAATAACTTATTACAATTTCATTAAACCTGTACTAATATTTGAGTTAGAATAAAAAAGCAGAAAATAATTCATTACCTAGAAATATATTTCACTAGATTTGCTCATTGCTACAAATACTCTATGGTTGATGCATATCACATGTTGAACAAGCTTTGGAGAGGAAGTTGATGAAGTCTTCCACTTCATTGTGACAAATTTTAATATCAGCCTTTGATGAGTTAAAGTTGAGTTTGTACAGAAAACTTTTGAGCCAGCATCTTTTTGTAACTTATTAATCTTCAAAGTCCCTTGTAAAGTAGGAGTATGGATTAATTCACTTCATACTGTTGAGGGAATTGATATCTCTATGGTAACTTGCATGTACATCCTCTCTTTAGAGATTGAATCATCAGAAGAACCTAGCTTTACTCCCATTATACTAACATTTAAATTAATTCCTGCTTGAGAAGGAAATATATGTACAGAGTTGGGGTTGTATACCTTGATCACACCACTCATGTTGATGAATGATAATGAACCTTCTTTACTTTGGAGAATTACCTCCAAATATAGATCTAAATATAACCTCTCCACTATCACATCCAATTAATCTCTAAGCTTAAGTAGTTGGTGATATTCTTTTCATACTAGAAGGCTAAATTTGTTCAACTCTAAAAACATGTATGCCAATGAATGAATGAAAAATTAGACTTATGCTAAACAAGTATCTACCATACCATGACAAAGACATTAAGTATTTGAAATATTGTTAACATCTTATATTTTACTTTCTCTAGTTCTTGCCATTGCTCTAATAAAGCTGGTATAGCTTCAACCAAATGTTATATAACTTGATTATGAAATAACCAATATACTTCATGCAATGACAGCATTTTCCTTGACCAACTTATCAATCTCATAAAAAGCATTACAATTAGAAGCTTGACCATCTGTTGCAGCAAGCACCTCCCTATAAACAACACAATGAACACCAAGGATCTTATGATGCTTCTCCTTCAAATATTGTACCACACTTGTTCTACATCCAATTAGGGATGAGGCTTTATCTCATGGCTT